CTCAACCGCAAGGATCCGATCGCAGTGTGCACCGCTGGACCTCAACCAGATAGTTTGCCAGATAAAATGCCAGATAGAATGCCAAGTAGATTGCCTTATAGAATGCTGCAAGAAGATATGCCAGATAGTATGCCAAATAGTATGTCAGATAGATTGCCAGATAGAATGGCAGATAGTATGCTTCAAACACACAACCACAAACACAACCACAAGCTCACAACCACAAACACAACCACAAACACACAAATACAAACACATAACCACAAGCACACAGCCACAAACACAACCACAAACACGCAACCACAACCACAACCACAAACACAACAACAAACACAACCACAAACATAACAACAAACAAACACCCACAAAGACACAACAATCGACACACAACCACAGACACACAACCACAAACACTCAACCACAAACACACAACCACAACAACAAAACCACAAAGACACAACCACAAACACACAACCACAAACACAACCACAAACATAACAACAAACGCACACCCACAATCACACAACAATAGACACGCAACCACAAACACAAACACAAACAACCACAACAACACAACCACAAAGACACAACCACACACACACAACCACAAACACACAACCACAAACACACAACCACAAACACAACCAGAAACACACAATCACAAATACACAATCACAAGCACAATCACAACCACAACCACAACACACAACCACCAACACAATCACAAACACAACCACAGCACACAACCACAAACACAACCACACACACAACCACAAACATAACAACAAACACACAACCACAAAGACACAACAATAAACACACAACCACAAACACAACCACAAACACACAACCACAAACACGCAACCACAACAACACGACCACAAAGACACATCCACAAACGTACAGCCACAAGCACAACCGCAAACGCATCCACAAACACACAATCACAAACACACAGCCACAAACACACAATCAGAAACACAACCACAACCACAACACAGCACACAACCACAACCACAACACACAACCGCAGCACACAACCCGAGGACCCACAAGCAAAATCGAGAACTACAATACTCACGACCATGGCAACATGCTCCTCACTATGGCATCAAGTCAAATGATTGAAATGTCATGGTGGGGATCACTCGAAGTAAAGTAATTACTATTTTTGAACAAGGCCTGCACTAACTAACCATTATCATCATCCACGGTTATTTAGGATAGACCCAATGTATATGGTCACCGAGCCCACATGGACCTACCTTGAAGGCCCTGTGAGAGATATTGATAGTATAAATTTGCATCTGTTTCACATACATGTGCTCAACAAATGCACAAGTATCATATAAAACACACATGTTTCATTATCTAGTTTCAGTGTCGCGATTGAAGGACAGCCTTATACCAGTTTTAAACCGAAATTCGGCCTCGAAATCACAGACTCTGTGGGGCGGACCCCATAGAGAAAACCAAAAAAAATTAAAGAAAAGAGACTCTTTGGGGAGGGCCCCAGAGAGAAAACCACACACACATTTAACCAATAACATACTAAAAACATGTTCCAAAACTCTTGGCTGCCCCCCCTCCCCAGGACTTCTTGATTTTGCGGTTGTTATTTCTTTCAATGTTTGTTTGTTTTTGCTGGTTCTTTTGGTCAACCCACCCCGCTCATAGCCCCTCATGATCCTTGGTATTCGTTTAGTTTTTAATGGAGCAATTCGCGGTGTCCAGGTAGGCTTGCTGAGTTTATGTATGTATATATATATATATGTGTATATGCTGCCCCCAAAGATCTACTATTTTTGCTTGTTGTCGCATGCCTGTCTGAGTCAATACTATAGATAGATAGATATCCAAACTGTAGAGAACCAACACAGGGTTGAGATGATCTTTGTATCCTCGTTGCGCTTCCAGTGCCCATACTGGGTGCCCCGGGTCTGTGCGCGCGACAGTGGAGCCAACAGTTGCAGCTTGACTCAGGTGCCAGGCTCGGTCAACAATTTGCGTGCCAGCCTTCCTTCGAATTGTCTTCCCGATTGGAAGCTTGTGAGTGGAGAGCTTGACAAAAGTGGGCACTTGCCACACATACTTACCACCAATTTTAAAAAGGCTTTTTGTGCGCGACACTGTCATGCCAAAGGCCTTCAGAGCAATGGGCTGCCATTCAGCTTTGCGGATTGCACCTCCAAGGGATCCCGGCGACCACGAGCAAGGAGACCTGCTCATTGCTCCCAGTGAGCGCTGGATCTTGAGGTAGTTTTGTCGAAGATCGCCAAGGCCTCGTCTGCTTCAACGTCTTGCCATGTCTTGCCAGTGCCCTCCTTTGCCAAGGTTGATGTCCTCCCCCTTGCGCTCAACCAATTTCTTGCCAAGTTGCGGTCCAGGTGTTCCAAAGCCTCGCGATTGATCTTGGCCCGTATGTGGATTGTGCTCAGTGAGACGTTGGCCAGACGCATTCCGGACCCGTGGTTGCTGTGAACACAGGATGCAAATGCTGTGGAGTGATGAAACGCTGGCAACTAGGCCGTCTTCAATGAGCATTTGAGAATGGTTATCTGATCTGCAGCAAGAAGCTGTTGGACATTCCGCTTCCACTGCATCCCGTCCCGCCACTTGTCGCGCTTGGGGGCTGCAAGCTTTACTTTTCTGGGCGTACGGAGTGCTTGGGTCTTCATAGATGACGGACCCTTGTGAATCATCCACTGGACTCCGTCGTTGGGCGGAGGAAAAGGTATGAACTTGGAAGGCTTGGGTCCAAATAGCTTTGAAGTTGGCATTGCTTTCGCAAGGGGGCGAGGCAATGTCCCAAAAATAAATCAAGAAACGCTGAAACAGCGACATGCATGCTGAAATCAAAGGAATCACGACGTGCATATCAAAGTTGTAAGTGGGTTACACAATCTTGGGGCAAACAGCAAAGAAGTGACACTTGCTACAGCCATGCAAGGACATTCAGACTACTTGTTTGTCTTGTCAATGAACTCTGTTCCTCGATCATAGTGCAACATCGCAACTTATATAAGTCTTCATGGTGCAAGTGTTCCGTCTTCGCCTGCGTGCAGCCCTGTTTCCATCTCTTTCTCTAAGGCGCGCTCCGGGGATTGCTCGTCCTCATCATCACAAAAAAGCCCTAACGTGGCATTGTCAGGGTTTGAAGGCAAAGATGCAGTTGCGCCGGAGATTGCGCTTGCCTTTCGCTGAAGCTAAGCAAGTTGTTTTCTTTCAACAGTTAAAGAAGGAGACCTAGCTTGGTGACTCTTCGCCTTGCAGTAGCTTTGACAGAGATAGTCTTTCCTCAGTGATCGGTGCTTGGGCTAAACAACTGCAAATCCCGGCTTCCACCCTGACAGGTGGCTCCTGGCGGGAGGCTTGGAAAAAGTGGAGCGCCGATGTTGGACTCCCTGAAAACTGACAAGGCTTTGGTCTCCGCGGTTCGCGCCTCGCACTTGCGCAGTGCCGTTGATGTCTTCGGCGCCGAAATGGCCTCGCCGGGCATATCTTCAGGGCCGTCTCTGCGTCTGTCCGTCGTGCCTTTCACACTGAAGAGTGCAAGCGTTTTGTCCGGGCCAAAAAGTGTGCTCGCCTCTTGCGATGCTGTTGTCATTGTATGCGTCTCGACCTTCGCCTGCGTTATCTTCGCCAGTTTTCCTTGTAGTTGAACTTTCGCTGCGTAGCCCGCAGGCCGACTTGGACTTCTTGCGCAGCTTTGCTCGGGCGGTGCATTACAGTTCTCCATCGTTTGGGTGACCCGTCTCCTCTCGTCGGTCCTTCGGTTCCATCTGTTCAAGGGTCACTGTCCTTCTTGGTCGCGTTTGGCGGGCGCTGCCGCTCGACCCGAGACCGCGTGGCAGGTGGCCCCTAAGCCGACAGAAGCCGGTTGAGGACAGGACCAGATCCACTTTCGAGTGTTTTCAAAATTGAGAGACGACATAGCCGGCAAAGCGGCTCATGGCGACCCGATGAAGAAAAGACCCAAGCGTGCCAACCAATGTGTGCATTTGCATATGTATGTACTCGTAGGCAAAGTCGACCAACACCTGTCGGTTGGCTTGGGTGAGAACTTCCACTTCTGGGGTGGCAGGTCAGGCCACCCTCGCCGCAGCCGGCAAGTTGCATTCGAACTGCTGTTAGACGCTTGGCTGAGGACCACCAAACAGGTGGCAGGCAGAGGATCTGCCCATTGGGCACTAGAATAGAGCTTAGCCATTCACAAATCCCTTCGACACTGAGGCTTGTCGCTTGGACCTGGCTTTGAGAGAGGATGCAGAACTGGTGCAACATGCAATGGAAATTCTCAGTGGCCAGGCAAGGGTAGTGGCGCACCAGCCGCAAATCCTACTACCATGACTAATCAGTGGGAGGTGGCTGGTCAAACTATATAGGTTGGATAACGTTTTGTGCTTTGACAAATTGCTCTGAAAACGTTGGGTGCGTTGCTATCCAGGACCTCTCTGGAATGGCAAAAGCTCCGACCAAATTCCAAAGGGTTTCTTGGCATAGACCGAAGCGCGAAATGCCAAAACCACGATAGTTGTGAGTGAGGGTTCCTAAACACTTGGATTTTTTGCTCTTCGAACGCCGAGGTTCGGGACCCCTCGTCTGCCTCGCTGCGACGGCGCTGGCAGGTGGCAGGCCCGTGTGCAAGACGATGGCGACACGACATGGTAACCGTTCGGGAAGCAAGGGCTCCTGCAAGTTCGACCGCAGAGTTCCGAATGAAGCCGACTCACACCAACGGCGTCAACCATTTTCGAGCAGATAGGCACTCTTGGTTTGTTTTCTTGCCGAACTTTTCAATTAAAAATTGGTACAACAGATAGCAAGAAACACCAACCAGCCAACCCGGCTGTGGAGCCCCTGGGCCGCCTTGGCCCAGGCTACCGTGCCCAAGACGAGCTGTGGTTGCTCCGATGCGGTGGTGGACGGCTGGCGACCCTCAGTGCACCAGCACCCTTCAGTTGGGCTATGGAGGTGGGCAACGTGTTCCAAACTGGTCTGGCGGAGTTTTGGGCTTGGTGTCCACCCACAGCCTTCGCCACATGTGTTGAATTGAACGCATGCCGGTAGAGATACAGAACTGGTCAATCTATTGAAGCCCTGCTTCGTTTCTATCATGACAACTGGCACCGCCGCATCAGAGAGCACAATATTCCGGGTCGTTTTGTTCATATCTCGGGCTGTTTGTGCAATGCTATGTTGCAGCCATACGGTTACATTGGCTTGAGCCCTGACCAGGGGGTGGCGCTGGCACCTTGGAAGAATGACTTTGGGATTGGACTCGGAGTTGAGTTTGGAGGTTTAATCGTTTGCATTTGCCCAACTTAGGCAGAGACACTACCAGAGCGCTAAGACGCTGCGAGTTCGCTTGGCAGCTTCCCATATTCAAACGAAGCCGTAGCAGCGCAGTCATGTCTGACAGCCGGCTTCCAAGTGGCCTGCAGCGGTCAGGATGGTTGCCCAATGCTCACCACCTAGCCAAGCATTTGATTTTCCAACCGCTGACCGCTGAGCCCTTTCGTTTGACGTTCGTACGTCTGGCGTTGCCAACAAAAGCGATGAATGATCTTCAGCAGCAGCCCGTGTGGTGTACATCCTCCAGTTTCGGGGAACGTCAACACCAGAAACACCTCACCACCCACGGAGGCCAAAACTCACAAGAGCATTCTTCAGGTGTGGTTTGATGGTGGTTCGCAATGGTATCATGAAATATCATGAAGAGGTTGACCGAGGGGTACGCTCGAAGGAGTCGTTTTGCGGAAACAAACGCCCCCTGCATGTTGTGTGGACCCGTGCTTTGGTTGACCTTTCCGGGTGCCTGGATGCGTCTGGTGCGTCCGCGGGCGTTTTCAAGCGTCCTCAAGGCCGGCGTTTGGCTGTGAAGGCCTTGTGCGCCTTAGGACTGAGCCTTAGGTATGGCTTTTTGCGGTGTTTCTATTTGTGCGGGGAAGCAGTTCAACATATGCGCATCCTAGTGCGCATCCTATATCATGGCATATCTCTGGCCATTTGATGCCATTTGTATGTTTATCCTACCAGCGAGAGTCACCAAGTGTTCAATCCGGTGAACCCATCCGTCCTTGTGGGGCGTGCAGGGAGCCAACGAGCCATGCTCTCCCAGGACGTCCTTCGCGAGCTTTAGGCGAGCTTCAGGCTTGGCGACCCCAGACTTATCTTCCGAGACCGCAAACAGGAAAAAACGCACAGCATGGCTAGCATCAGCAATTATACAGTAGGTTTTTGAGATTTCCATGCCTGCCTAGTATCTCAAGGGGGTGTCGTGCCCATCATGGCTTCTAGAGACGTGAAAAGGGTGGTTGCAATCGGTTGGACCACTGATTCTAGGCTGCGATAGACTGATGATTGAGTGCTGTTGCTGGTTATCACACTCACTAAAGCATCCAGTGATAAGTCAAGTAGGAGAAAGACGGTACAAGTACTGTATCAAGGATTTGCATGCGAACCCACCTTTAAATTCACTTGTTGGACCGAAACTCGAAGGCTGGCAACTTCGTCTGAGGCCATCACACCTCTTCTCGCGCCCGATGGCGCAGCCCTAGCCCCACCACTGGCAGCCAAGTTGAAGGAGGCCTGAGAAATGCCTATTTTGGGTGAACTTGGGGGGAACGCCGCGCAATGCCTGTGTGACTTCGAGGGGGCCGGACCGGTGGGATCTTCCTGGGGCTTCAGCTGAGTAGTCATTGGAGTATGCTGCCAGGAGATCTCAGTGCTGAGACTGGAAGTAGAAGTCACAGTGGATGCAGGGATGCCCAAGAGAGAGAGAGAGAGAGAGAGAGCGAGAGCGAGAGCGAGAGCGCGAGCAGCGAAGAGATCTCCCCATGTTCAAAGTTCACTACTTCTCCTTTCGTCGCACTTGACTGTCTAATTATGTTGAGGACTCTGAGGACCGCTTTGCAGTTCGGTTGGTTGGCGAGGTTTTAGAGCTTGAGCTCGGTTTTTTTGGCGCTTGAGGGGGCATCAATCAAGTTGCGGGTGAGTTTTCTCTGCAGCTGCCAGCTGGCAGGTCAGGCTGAACAGATACTGTAAATCAATTCAAGTGGTCCAAGCCAAGGGAGTTCGCCACTGTAATGGCAGAAGGGTTTTGCCAAACTTGCTGACATAAACGCTCAATGAGGAAGAACTGAATAGTCCAATACTTTCGGCCATTGACTCAAGGCATCGAGGCAACAGAGGCCCTGATACAAGCATTGTGCTTCAGTCCTTCAGCGTGGCTGACAGGGCTACGTCATATGCAGAAAGCTGTCCTTGTTGTAACACATGTCACATGTCTCTAGATGAAGCAACTCTGTCACATCTGATTTGCAACGCTTCGCCCTGCCAACCCATGGAATGGCGTGGTCATGGTTTCTCTTTTGTGACAAGACACTTGGCGGCACACAAGATGCAACTGACCTTCTTTTCCCTCACCCAAAGCCTGGGGACAGAGCTGATGCATCACAGCTGAACAGGTGCCTTGCCCTTTTGGCACTGCTGGCCTGTGGCTATGTTTGGGCCGACCAGGCACTGCGCTTTTGGGCATTGTCCCTCGGCCTTGGTCGCGGCATGGGGCGACACGGGGCGACCGGTGGCCGCGTTTGGGGGCGACGGTTGGTGTTTCCATCCGATCTCGTGGATTTAGGTTTCTTTTGCTGCTCTCCCTGTGGATCAACTTTTGCAAGAGCTTTTCCTTGACGCTTGGGCCTGAGTGGGGTGCTTGACAGATCAGATTTGCTCATTGTTCCCCTTGAGAACGTGAGCTTGCAAAACAAACAACATCCAAGCGAGCGCCCTGGTAGCTCAGAGGCTAGGGAGTCTAGAGTTTGTAGTTAGCACTGTACTTTATCACTTGCACTTGAGTTCTCCACACTTAGGCTTGACGTCTCCAGCTTGAGCTTTAGCTACCTGGCAAATCTGGCAAACTATGCCTGCTTGTATTTGTGGTATATATATAATAATATAACATATATATATATATGTGTGTATGTACTTATGCGGGGGCTGGTGTCTCGGGTTGTGTTCAGTGAGATCATTTGCTCACAGCCTGAGCGACTTCCAAGATTCTGCGATGGAGAGCAAGCTGGGCAGACAAGAGCCTCCGGACGAGGAGACCTGCCCTTTTTTGCATAGGTTCTTTTTCTATTGATTCGTGGGAGGATGATTGCAGGCCGACCCTGCTTCACATGTCTCCGCGCATCATTTTGTGGTTGCTCATACGGTTGTAGTGGTCAGTTTGCACCTCTTACTGGAGTGTTCGGCTGCCCACAGGAGCTGGAACTGGTTCGCTTGGCTGGCGTACCACCAGAGATACTTGCCAGCAGCGTTTTCGGTGAAGAACACTCTTTGTTTGCAAAGATGTTCTTCAAGGGATCATGTGTATTTTCTTGTCTCCAGGGACTCCAGGGTGTTGGTGAAGTTTTTCAGGTGGGCAAGGAGAAGTTCCTTTTTAACCTCACCGATCGACCAGTTTGTTGCCCCAAACAAATTGATGTCGCTTGTCTTAGTCCGAAGTCAATGGCCGAAGGCCGACACATGTTCGAGCGGAGAGCCGGAAGACTTGCGTTGCCCAGGTGGACGTCCCAGGTGGCTCAACTGGCGGAACGCCTGGGGGCACATGGAGATGCGCCAGAACCCCTTTGTGATCCGTTTCTCGCCCTTTTACTTTGCATGAGCGATACGAACGCAAGAAGCTTCAGATACCCTACAAAAGCGGGCCTCAGCATTTTGTCCTGTTCATTAAGGTTGATGCTCCTGCGCCCCTTGTCCGCATCCAGTGTTGAAAGTGCGCAGATCAGCTACAGTCAGCTTTGAGGAGTTGTACATTACTGTACATTATTGTGCCAATTCGATGAGCATCCTGCTGGGCCCCTGTTCACGAATCTCAAATTGATTGCCCTTGCAAAAGGCACAGAGGGGCTCTTACCAAATATGTATTTATATAATTATCACTAAGAAGAACGCGGCGGTTTTTGCCCTCTCAAGCTCTGTTCACGGCTTTGTTTGCCATGGATCATCGCGACCGCAGACAAAGCCGTGTACAAGACCTGCAAGGGCGGAAGGATCGGTGAGTTCTTATATACACACCGGGATGCCCTGCATGCAGACATATAACAGGAAACAATGATGGGTAAAACACGTAGAACACAGGTGCCGGCTGCCCGCATGCATTTTCCATACACATATGATATGGCCCCTGGGCCCCTGGCCTGTTCCATCGATGTTGGAGCGCCGAGGCTTCCTAAAGTCTCGGAACTTCGACCTTGACGCAGCTGCAGCCATGTATCTTCATGCATTGCGCTGGCGGCGTGAGTCGATGCAATCAGCCACCCAGCGCTCTCAGCGTTCTTTGAGGGACGGTGATGGCAACGCAGGATGTGCACCGTTCAGAGAGTTGCAGGTAGTTCGTTTGCCCCAAGTTGTGTAGACCCAACAAATCAAAAAGCTGCTGAAATTTCAGCGACCAGACAATGGGGCAGACCAGACATCCCTGATGCCATTCCTCCCAGTAGGATTCACAACTCTCTCCAAAATGGCTTGTTTATTGTTGATGACTCTCCTTTTGTCATGTCCGAACTTGATTATGTTCTCTCTAGAGTCAAGCGAACCAAGCAAACAAAAAACGACAACAACATTTTCCAAACTAGCCCAAACCTTTATATAGGATAAACATAGTGTCCAAATCATTGTTCTTTTTAGTTTCCTAGTTCTTGGATTGGGAATCGGAATAGTGCCCAAATCATTGGTCTTGTTTTTCAGTATTCTGGTTTCAACATAGTGTCCAAAGCATTAATTTGTCCTAATTTTAGAATTGTGTAGCGGCATAGAGTCGAAAATCATGCATGTTGCAAGCAAATGGTTTGACCACTTCAGAGAGGAGACTTTCGGGCTTTGTGTTGCTCCAACTTTCTCAGAGAGGTTCGCCTCAATATGATCCAACACACACGGAATAATATACAGATAGAAAGAACATGGCACATGCATGAGCCGCGGATGAGCAGAGAAACGAGGCGTAGCCAGTAGTGACTCAGTATAGCTAATACGTGCCACTGGTTGTTGGAGAGATTTTCCTTTCAAGCCTTTTGGATGCTTGCTTTCTTGGATTATGGACAGGAGGTAATTAGGTTCAATATTGTTTCCTTCCTTCCCATGACTCCTTCCACTTCCACACTTTTTGCCAAGGTCATGATGACTTTTGGGGGTGGTGAAAGATATACGGCCTCTGGACACCGAGCCAGTGGCGATGTCGCTTGGCATTGGCGCTTCCAGGAGCATTCATGGGAAGCTTCCATTGCAAAAAAATACGGACCCTTGGACTGCAACAAGTGTCTTAACTCATTATATGTGTTTTCTTGCATTTTCTCCCTTCCTACTGGGTGCCAAGTATGCAGTCTCCACGTATGTTTTTGGGTTCCGTGGGGCTTGCGAGGGTGATTGCCGCTCCAAGAACTTGTTCAAACCAAGCACTGATTGATTTTTTGCCAGCGAGATTTGAAAGTGAATTTAGTCGTTCTTTTCCGTGTGCTGTTTTAATGGAATCTCACTGAGGCTTTTTTGGGCGCTTGGGCACGAGCACCATTCGAGGGGAGCCTGTCGCGATTTGGCGTTTGGGTGCCGCAGACTGGGATGGGTGCGCCCAGACAGACGCTTCAGACTAGGACGTGTGTCCAACGTGTTTTTCTGTCTAAGTGAGGATGCGGAAGGACAGAGGCACACTTGGATTCGGAAGCGGAGTCAAAGATGTGGGTCTTGGAGATGTGAGATGTGTTATAACTGTTATTCAACATGTTCAATACAGTTTCTAATTGTGGACAAGTTGATGATTCTATGATCCTCAGGCCTCGGCTCAAGGCTCCTTCCGTAGGACTTTGCAAAAGGCATGGCACCGCAACGACACTTTCAGTACATGTGGGGTGACGCGGGGCTTCCCTTCCTGGGCACCCTTGCAAGGATGAACCCCATGAGATGGAGCCCTGCAATGCATGTCTCCAAGCTCGTTGCGGAACTGGAAGCATCTCGTGAGCGGCCTGTGAGGATCTACATGTCATCGGAGGATGAGACCCTCACTGTGGACTTTGATGCCAGCCAGGCTCTTCCGTGGCTCCGTGAGAACTTCGCTTGGGAGTTGACGCAGCAGCCGCCCAACGAGCCGGGCTTCTCCATTTTTTCGTGCACCCGGCCGCAAGCAGACGAGCCTGAGGAGATGGTGGTTGAGGATCATGCCAATGCAACCGAAGAGGTCGGTGCAGAGATTGCGAGAGAGGGAGACCCTGAAACTACTGAAGAAGTGTCCGGAGTTGGAGAGAAAGATGATTGCCGTGGGCTGCTGGATGAGAATGCCAAAGTGAAGTACATGTGGGGAGATGCACGGCTCTTGCCTTTTCAAGTGATCCAAGATCTTTCCCGCCACAACCCCATGCGATGGAGCAGTCTCCATAGCCCAGAAGCTCTTGCAGCCAAGCTGGAGGAGTTTCATGAGATTCGACCCGTTCGCATTTCTGCGGACACCCAGCGTGGCAGCTTCGAGCGGAGTTTTCAGAGCCCACGAGCAGCGGCCCAATGGCTACGAAAGACCTTCACCGCGGACATGGCGCGCTTGGATGAAGAACGGCTTTGTGTGATTTGCCTGACCGAGCCACGGAATGTGGTGCTGATGCCCTGTAGGCATGCCGTCCTATGTGAGGCATGCCTAGATGTGCTGATGCAAAGCACTCCAAGCGCGTGTCCGGTGTGCCGGCGGCGTATCCAAAATCATGCTCGAGGGCACTTTGTGGATGACTATGTCGAGTTGGTGCGGGCCATGGAATTAAGACTCGAACGATCGCAAATGGCAGCTTATGAAGGCGTGGGTGCGGAGACAACAAGCTCCTGTTCACTTCCATGCTTTTTGGAGGGAGGGCTACGGATCTTGGAGAAATAACATGAAACAACATGAAACACGACCCAAGCAAACCAAGAAACAAACCACTTGTTGGCATTGGATGTTCTCATGGACCCCTCAGGCATGTACAACCACATCCGCCCTTTGATGGTGACTGGTGTGCTCCTCGCTTCAGGCGCTGCTGCTTGTTTTGTGGTGTGTCCACCTGCAGCACCTGCTCTCTTGGCTGGAGCTGGAGTCATTGGTTACCTGCCGTGGTTTGCAACCACTGTGGCCAACTTCGAAGGGGAGCCCTTGGAAGAGCAGACCAACCGGATCTTCACCGAGGAGGATTTCTCAAGCCCTTTGAGGTTGGTCACCAAGGGCGTGGTACTTTTGGTGGCGGCGCCTGTGGCCTTGGTGACTTTCTTCATTCCCTATGGGATCTTTGCTGGGCTTGTGCGGCCCCTGTGCCGCTTAGGTCTTCAAGGCTTGGTGCGAGGTGCCAGCGCTTCGCATGTCTATGTGCTGCGGCCACTGGCGCGCCTCTTGGCGGCGACGGGGCGATTGCTGTGGGACGGAGCTGTTGGGAGCCTGAACCTTCTGGGAGATATCGTCGGTGTCGCCGCACAGGGGTTTTATGATTTGGTCCTTGCTCCCTCATGGGGCGCTCTGAGTTGGTGTGGCCAGAAGATGGCCAATGCAGCTGCATGGATCTACGAGCATGGCCTAGTACCTGCCGGAAATGCGGTGTCTGGGGCAGCGCAGGCCTTTTACAACAACTTCTTGGTGCCCTGTGGCACTGCCACATGGTCCGGGCTTGCAGCTGCGGGCAACGGCACGTACAACTACGTGCTCGTGCCGCTGGGTCAAGCTCTTGCCAAAGGCGCGGAGGCTCTCTATGCTTTGGTCCTGGTTCCAGCAGGCCAGGCATCTTTGCATGCTTTGAAGGGGCTTGGTCGTTTGGTGGCTGGAACCGCTTATGGGCTTTGGAGCTACATCCTTCTTCCTGCTGCAGGGGTCACCTGGGAAGGCTTAAAATTCCTTGGCCGCATGATGGCCCTTGGAGCCGAACACGTGTACGCGCACGGGGTGCGGCCATTGGCCAGCTTTACGTACAACAACCTGTTGACTCCCATGGGCCATGCTGCATCAGCGTTGGCTTCTGGTGTTGCCGCTGTTCTGGCTGCAGCTGCCAATGGTTTGGCTGCACTCGCCTCTGCGTCATTTACATACGTGCTGCTGCCTTGCTTCAATGCCGGATCCACCGTGGTGGTTGGCCTTGCAATGGGCCTAGCAGCTGCCACTAGCGCAGGCTACCAGTATGTCCTTGTCCCGGTCGCTTCGGCAGTGGGATCAGCCGCAGCCCATGTGTACTCTTATGTGCTGGTACCGTGTGGGCAGGCGACCCTCTCTGGCTGCCGAGTCGTCCTCGAGGTCAGTGTAAAGCTGGAATCCTTTTGTGAGGGACCTCTCTGACCCACTTAGTGTTTCCCCATGTTTCCTCCAAAAGCTGGCATGGTGTTTCTATGTGTTTCTATTTCTTTCTACTTCTAATCGCATGTCAGTTGTATGACACATATTGACACACGACATAGGTGGCGACCAGCACCGGCCAAAGCGTCTACATCCATGTGCTTTGCCCTGCGGGCCGCGGCGCACGCGCGCTGGCCGAACACATGGGCCAGGCCTTCCAGCAGATCGGCCACACGGTGCGCGTCACGATCCAAAGCCTCCTGAGGGCCCAGTGAGCAGCACGGGCACACAGTGATTCACGAGCCACGTGGCCAACAAGGTGGAGGGTGACCCAACCTGTACAGTTGGTTTGGGGTGACCTCCAGTCCTTTGCGTCAAGAAGACGTCAGAAAAGGTGGAGAATGCCTGAGCATGCTGAGGTGTTGGAGCTGCTTGCATTGAGAGTCGTTTGTGAAGCGTTGCTATGCCAGGTACTACCGCGAGGAGATGATGTCACATTTCCCAAATCCGTCTTGCTCTTGCCAATTTCCATAGCTGTTTGTAATTCCCATGGGTTCGTCAAGGCTCGAACAGCATTCTTACCAGCTTTTGTCCCACACAGGTCAGTTGCGATCACGCCAGCTGCCAAGTTCTTCCGCTCCGGCCTTGGACAGGACTTGGCCCCTATCATCGCGCAGGCCTTCGTTGCTCACTTGGAGGAGCAGAGACCGGACAAGTGGGTCGCTGGAGGCATGGCATAATAACTTTCGCACATGATATGGCTGAGAATCTTGATGAATAATCCTCACATCTGAAGTATGAAGAGGTTTTCAAGCCATTATCCCCGGTCCTTGTTCCATGCAAAAGCCTTCTTCGTTCGTAGCTAGGTGTACATATGTCTTACCCCCTTTTTCACGCGTGTACATTTACCACTTTTTTTTTTCTCACACCCACCTCAACCTCTCAGACAACCTGAGAAAGGGGGGCGTGGGCGCGCGCGTCATCGACTGACCGTCCGCAAGTCCGTGCATCCAAATGGGGTGTTTTTTCCTTGAAGAGTCTATATCATGAAGGCAGGCCCAACTTGACCAATTCCCGCAGCGCATTGAAGACAGGACCTGCTCCAGAGCAGCCGCGCCGAGTCGCGTCGTCGGAACCTGAGACCGGTCCCCCTGACTTATAAATGAAACTGTATAAGTGTAGTGTATATTACATTGAGTTTTCGTTGAAATCTTCTCATGAGGTTCGATGTAGGGTTTGATCCGTGATCATTTTCGGGTCTCAAGTGAGGGCTGAAGTTGATGATCATTGTCATCTCTCAACGAACAGTTCAAAAATCCTTTCATCATGATATATATATCTTCTAATAGCGATGGCCTCCAACCTAAGAGCGCTGGCCTCCAACCCAATAGCGACGGCCTCCAACCTAACTGTAAAGCTCCCTGGAACCTTTGTGCCACATGCGTCTTCCTGGAGGTTCTGTTTTGGAGATCCGATCTGGCTGACGCACACCAGCCATGCAGCAAGGAATCCGGAGAACATCTGTTGGCCACTTTGGCCAGATCAATGCGTGCACATTGTGCAGGCCATCAACACATCAAACCTCGACGTATCTTAGGGCTACCAACTTCTTTCACAAAGACCCTTGGAAATCACCTGCTGGCCATGCCCGCTCGTCGTGTTCCGCCATGGCGACATGGGCAGCGATGGCCCTGCCGAGTGGAGTGCCACCTGGCAGACTTGGAACATTTCAAGCCGGCAGGCCCATGAGCACCGGGGTTTTCAAGAATCTAGGCAAATGCAAACTGGACATGGATTGTTGTTTTCAATTTTTTCCATGAGTACCATTACCGGGAGTTTCGCCGAGTGCCGATACTTGTAGTGCCATTTCTCTGAAGAATGGCGGCGCACCTGGGCACACCAAAGCTCCCTGTGTGCAACATTTCGGCCTGAGAGCAGACGCAGGTTTGTAGTAAACTAGGGAGAGCTGGCCGCCTGGAAGGGAAATAGACCAAAGCTCATGGGTTGGGTCTCCCTATTAAAATGCACACTCGTGTCAGTGGCCTCTTTAAGGCGTCCATCTCCACACTGGGGAAGGCCAAGCTTTGGCTCCAAGCCCTGGACTTATGGCAGGAGGCCTGTGGGTCTTGGCGTCTAATCCACAAAACAAGTGCTTTTTAGAGGGGTGGATGTCTGGGGTGAGGATTGGAAGTCGAGAGCTAGGATGGACTAGGTGACTGTAGGAGCCACAGAAGCCGGTTGAGATGGATGTTCTCCCGTGACACGGGTGACCGACAGGTGCGCTCTAATGCTGATTTGGTTACATTCAATGCCGCCATCAGCGCATGTGGCAAGGCGGCCAGACAGCATCCCTTCGATCATCCATGAGCCTTTCGATGCATGGATTTCCACTGATGGTTCTCTTCCAACGCATGTCCATCAAGACATTTCATCCAGCGCTCTAGGTGCATTTCATCCACCTGCTGGTTCAGCATCACCCACACCCCCCTGGTTGCGCACGCCACGAGGCTCAAGAATGGCAGCAAGCTGAAGCCCTCCTGCAGGTGTGGTGAGATGATGCTCATCGTGAAACGGTGTCAAACACAGGTGTCACATGGCAGACCCTGGCCCCTTGGTTCAATGGTATGGGATAGCTTCCCTGCGCACGCGGCACTGAAACAGGTATCACGGGCCAAGGTGAGCGAAGTTTGGAAGTGATCGGCTGCAGCTAGAAAGGGGTGAGTTGTGGTCAGATTCCAGGAAATTTTTCCGGAGGTAGGTTTCTGTCATGGGGTGTCTTTACCTCGAGAGGCTCACCTTCACGTGTGCAAAACTGCTACATGGCCCATCATGAACACCATTGACAAAAACACACCAACGCACCCACACACGCTCGCATCTGCTGGCCACTGCTCGGGTGTTTGGCGTTCCTCCGGGCGCAGGATTTCCCATATGGAGACTCTCAGCAACCTGACCTTGTGACCTGGAACTCTCTCCTCAACGCTTATGCCTCAGCCACCGAGTGGCCCTTCGCTCTGCAGCTTCTGGCGAGGGGCTCAGGTGAAACATGGCCGAGTGTGTGTAAGGCGCATGAGCTTCAGCGAAAGGCTGAACACCAATGCGTTTCCTCCGCGCCCCCAAAATCCAGACATGCTCCCATTCCCAAGGCCGACATGGATGCCGAAAAGACGTACTTCGGCATGACGTTGCCGAAGCCGGACCTCTTCAGCTACAACACGGCTCTGAACGCCTGTGCTCGTGCCGGACAGTGGCGCTGGTCTTTGGCCCTCTTTGAGCGTCTCCGAGAAGTGGGATTGGTCGCCTCCGAGCGCCCCGACCGTGACATTGGTCGCCCCATGACAGGTCTGTCAAGGCACACTTCGAATGCATGGAAAACATGGAGGGTCATGAGTCATAATCAGGGCGCCCTTCTAGTTGCCTGGAGTCGATGAGGCCCTGGAGTCATACTATGAGGCCCTTGTATAAGTTTGGGATTGATCGGGGGAAACCATTGCGGCATCCATTTCGATCATTTGGGTCGCTCCGAGGTACAGCTGCAATGGCTTGCTGCACGGCATGGCACGTGCACGTTGTTGGCAGGAGGCTCTCCAGATGTTACGAAAGCTGCTGGACGGAGGCCGGGGAAAAGTTCTGCGGAGGCCAACAAGTGAAAGGATACTCACAGGGGGCATGTGCTATGCAACCACTTTGTCCAATCAGCACGGTGGGGGTTGAATGGAACCAACGATCGCTGGTTTTCCTTCCTTTAGGGGCGTTTCTGAGGAGAGGTGGTGACAGCTGCCGGCTTCAGCGCGATTATGGGTGTGTCTCGGCTTGACTGAAGCGTAAAATCCTTTGCGTCTCAGATGTGGAGGGCCCCAGGAAAAGGTGCCGGATTTCTTCTCGTTTTGATGGTGTGGTGATGTTGGCAGCTGTTTCTTCAGCTGGTAACTCCTCCTTCCAGGCCTGTGAGCGGGGTGGTCTATGGCGGCAGGCGCTTGCTTTGCTGAAGATGCTAGGCGATGGTGCTGATGCGCGTGCCTTGTGCTCGGCGATCAGTGCTTGTGAGAAAGGCAGACGGGGATGGACAGACCAACCTGAAATAGGGAGACTGAAGGTTCGCATGACAAAATGAATTACTGTAGCATTTCTGGCAGTGAATACTGTAGGTACATGTGTTTAGTTGTTTGTTTTGTCCTGGTGTTGTAGATGGTCGTGAGCCAATCGAAAACCAGCGACGTGCTGGTCCTTCAACAGGCCAGGGTTCAATTTCCTGCGCACTTCAAGTGAATTAGTCGCGTTCATATACCAAATGACGGCAATGGTCACGGACATGGAAAACCACCTGTTTGTAGAGGACAGGATCATCCAAGGGGCTCTTATTTTCTGCTTCCAGGTAAAGTAATAATGCTATATAATATGAATGATATGAATGTTCGCTATTAAGTTGGAGGCCATCGCTTCTAGGTTGGAGGCCATCGCTTCTAGGGTCAGACCACAGTATACCACAGTATGATGGACCCCTCACCTTTGCAGGTCTCCAGTGGCAGCGTGCCATTGCCTTGCTCGAGTCCATGGAATCTTGGAAGCTGCCGGAAGCCTACGGCGCTGCTTGCAGCGCTTGTGCCGCCTGGGCCGGAGGTCTGTGGGTTTCACAGGGTTGGACCAGGCACAACGGAAGCCGATCATTGGTACCCTCCGCAAGCCGATCAAGCAAGTGAGACACCAATCCTGTCCTGTTTAACCAACACAAACGTGACCTGCTCTTTGGATGTTCTTCAATTGTGCTGGTCAATGCTGAGGAGAAGTGCAGCGAGTGGCAAGCAGCGCTGGCCATTGCTGCAGGGACGGTCCCAAATTTGTTCATGTGCCCTTTGGCAGAAAGGGGCCCCTGTTGGCATTGCGTCAAGAGGCTGAGAGAAACATGGCCACAGCCCCGGCAGCGCTTTGATCCAGGCAGTGCTGCAATTTCAGCATGTGCGAAAGCCGGGCAGCTCAAGAGATCTGTGCGGCTTTTGGACTTCATGGAGGCACACCTATCTTTCTTTGGATGTGGATAATGTGGGAAGAATATGACCCCAGGGCCCACTGGTTTTACTGCAATCGATCTTTCCTTGAGCAGTGTGTACCATTCAGGTCCCTTCGCGTATACAACCGCTGCCTCCAGATGTTTTGAGAGTCCGCGTGGGGAAAGCATGGCCTATCGATCTATTCCATTGTATTGTATGTTTTGTCATGTATTATCTATGTCTTGCACTCCTCTGAACCATGTGCTTCTTGAAGGGAGTCCAAACCAAGCACCATCCTTGTCTATCTCTTACATCAGTCCTACACTCTCACTCTCCCAACGCTAGGCCGCTGATGTGCCACCGGACGCTGCCACCTTTGGGGCGGCAGCTTGGCTTGTTGTTTTGTTTTCATGATGCCCGTGTAGAGGCCGGCAGTGATGAGCAATCCGCGTCATATCTTGGACAGCCACAGGTATGCGCTCCTTTGGTGCAAATCGAGGCCGCAGAGATGCATTTGGGATGGAGCAATGGGACACTCTGAAGATCTCCGAGCAGGTCCTAGGTCCTAGCCCATCCACATTCCAACTAAGTCACTTACGGTAACTTGAGCGTCCATACCACCCCTGGGTGTACATCATTGCTCATCAAGCAATTATTCCCCAATAGCCATGCTATGGGGTCTTGCAAAACTAATAGGCGGACGGGCGCCGTCGGGTCACCGTCAGAGCTGGTGGGCGGATGGTGTCCCGGTCATGTTTTGATGGCGTCCGGGTCATGTGATGCTGGTGTCCCGGTCATGTTTTGATGGTGTCCCGATCATGTTTTGATTGTGACCCAATCATGTTGTGATGGTGTCCCGGTCCTGTTTTGATGGTGTCCCGGTCATGTTTTGATGGTGTCCCGGTCATGTTGTGATGGTGTCCCGGTCATGTTTTGAAGGTGTCCCGGTCATGTTGTGATGGTGTCCCGGTCATGTTGTGATGGTGTCCCGGGCATGTTTTGATGGTGTCCCGGTCGTGTTGTGACGGTGTCCCGGTCATGTTTTGATGGTGTCCCCATCATGTGATGGTGGCGCTGTCATGTTGTGATGGTGTCCCGATCATGTTTTGACTGTGTCCCAGTCATGTTGTGATGGTGTCCCGGTCGTGTTTTGATGGTGTCCCGGTCATGTTTTGATGGTGTCCCGGTCATGTTGTGATGGTGTCCCGGTCGTGTTTTGATGGTGTCCCGGTCATGTGATGGTGTCCCGGTCATGTTGTGACGGTGTCCCGGTCATGTTTTGATGGTGTCCCGGTCGTGTTGTGACGGTGTCCCGGTCATGTTTTGATGGTGTCCCGATCATGTGATGGTGGCGCGGTCATGTTGTGATGGTGTCCCGATCATGTTTTGATTGTGTCCCAGTCATGTTGTGATGGTGTCCCGGTCCTGTTTTGATGGTGTCCCGGTCATGTTTTGATGGTGTCCCGGTCATGTTGTGATGGTGTCCCGGTCATGTTTTGATGGTGTCCCGGTCGTGTTGTGACGGTGTCCCGGTCATGTTTTGATGGTGTCCCGGTCCTGTTGTGATGGTGTCCTGGTCATGTTTTGGCGGTGTGCCGGTTATGTTTTGATTGTGTCCGGGTCATGTGACGGTTTCCCGGTCATGTTGTGATGGTGTCCTGGTCATTTTGTGATGGTTTTCCCGTCATGTCATGTTGGTGTCCCGGTCACCTTGTGATGGTGTCCCGGTCATGTTGTGATTGTGTCCCAGTCATGTTGTGACGGTGTCCCAGTCATGTTGTGATGGTGTCTCGCTCATGTTGTGACGGTGTCCCGGTCATGTTTTGATGGTGTCCCGGTCATGTTGTGATGGTGTCCCCGTCATGTTTTGGCGGTGTGCCGGTTATGTTTTGATGGTGTCCGGGTCATGTGACGGTGTCCCGGTCATGTTGTGATAGTGTCCCGGTCATGTTGTGATGGTGTCCCCGTCATGTCATGCTGGTGTGCCGGTCACCTTGTGATGGTGTCCCGGTTATGTTGTGATGGTGTCCCAATCATGTTGTGACGGTGTCTCGGTCATGTTTTGATGGTGCCCTGGTCATTTTGTGATGGTGTCCCGGTTATGTGATGATGGTGTCCAAGGAAGAGATGGTCGATGTGTTGAAAACAGCAGCTGTTTCCAGATTTTTATTTTTGTCCCGGTTTGTATCTTGCTATTGGGGTCTCCAGCTGGGCTAATTGTTTTTATATAATTGTTGAACGCGACAGGTGTCTCTATCTGTCTCTTTTTTTCTTCTCGGCCACTCTTGCGAATATCTCGAGACCGTTCTACGCCGTGGGGGTGTTCCACCTCTTCCGCCTGTCCCCTCCAGTCCTGTTCCTCCACCGAGGCCTGGTCGCAGGTTCTCCAGCTCTTCCGCCGGATGCGCTCCTCCCACCTGACGCCCGACGCAGCGTTGTGCGCCGACGCAGCAGCGCTGGAAAGACCACAGCTGGGGCAAAAGCTGCAAGGGCTTTTGAGGTGCCGACGCGGGAGGGGATGCTTTTCTTGGTTGGTTGGTTCGTTCGTTCGTTATTTAGTTGACAGGTGGCTTTGTGCCAATTGAAGCTTCATCAATCCGAGCATGCACTGAAACTGGTTCACCCTGTGCATCGTTTGGAGGCACAGCTGCTGGACCCTGCTTGTCGGCTTGCAGCGCAGTAGCCGAAACAGCGGAGTCGTCCACTGGCGCCAAGCAGAGCTGCAGAAGGAGCGCTTCGCAGAGTCACCTGGACCAACCAACCTCGGTCCCCACGTGCGATCAGGAGCTGTCGATGGTGTCGCTAGCGACGGAGAGCCTCCTATCTTTGGACAAGGCTGATGATGAGGTTGGATGCTGGCAGGTCACGTCTTCCCTATCAACCAAGCGCCCTGCAAGCCACTCAATCAATCAGGGGACGCAGGCAGCACGTCCCATTGGAATTTGTGTGTGTGTTTTGGGCTGAGATGCTGAGACGAGCCCTTTGGCTTTTGGTGCCCAAGCGCAGAACTGCACGGATTTACCTTCCAGGTCTCCAGCGCCTTCCGCCGTTTGCCCGGCACCTGGGCTGCTCGTCACCTCCATCAAAAGCGCCCGCCACTTCCAGTGGAGTGGCTCCCGAACCTGGGGCACCTTGGCGGCGGTTGGAGCAGCAGCTTTGCTGTGCGGGTATCAGGGGCCAGTCACCCAACCAGACCAGATGGAATTCACTGGAGGAAGAACCGGTCGCGAGAGTCAGGTCCAGAGTCCAGACGTCAAGCACTGCCGGGTTTTGATGCACAGTGTATGATCAAGTTCCGAGACATGGCTTGTTTGGGCAGAGATTTTCTCAGGAGCAGATCGACCAAGGACCTGCTCCTGGATGCTGGGCTGCACAAGTAATTCAATTCTGGCCCTTTTCCTACTCCGGCATGCAACCTTCCACATGAACTGTGTTTTGCACAGTACTTTATCGGCCAGTGTTTTAAACTTTGCACTTGACATAACTGTAGAGATGCCGGCAAACGATGACTACGTTTTCACGTACTGCAGTTCTCCGAACTGTATGACTATCGCAGCTATGTTTGTCACACGCAACGCGGTGAGAGGCTTCATGGCACTCCAAATCATGCTCTAGTTGCTCAGTTGAGAGGTCATTTGCGCCTCTCTTGGGATTTATGCACCTTTTTTCGGTTGCTCTGCTCCTCATCGATCAAGGATTTCCACTTGGCCAAGCCACGCGCGACCGTGCCCTGGGCGCCCTTGGCACGGTCTTCGGCGCTGCTGTGGTGGCCGCGGGGCGTCGAGGCCACGCTCTCCGCCAAGCTGGTGACCGCTTGGACACAGAGCTGCCTTGATGGAGAGGCACACAGAGATGGAGCAAGTTTGGGGGAAGTGGCTTCATGCCACCAAGAACAGGCATTGTTTATAGACTGCTATACTGTAGTGTAGGCTTCAATAGGTTTGGGGGTGAATCTCTTAGTCTTGAAATTGCGATCTCATGCTTAAAAACGAGATACACCTCAGTCCACTCCACAGTCTCCTACATGGAACGATTCTGACGCAGAAAGACTTGGACGTGCTTTTGTCCTTTTCACTGCGTGTGCTGGTGGCTTTGCAAACCTGGAAGCTTTGGCTCAAGGCCTCAATTTTTGACGAAGCTCCTTGTTCTGCGACATGGCCGACCTAGCAGCACTACAGAAGGTGGTTGAGAGATATGAGAAATATTGGCCCCGAAAGATCATGATGCTCTTCGGAGCTCCTGGCTGTGGGAAGGGCACCCAGGCAGTGGTGAGGGGGTTGTGATTTCCTGAGCGAAAGCCGACACCAAACGCTGAACAAAACAAAACCAAGACCTGCAGCGCTATCATGCGCTATCTAGGATTTATCATGGGTTTTGTGTGCACAGACCGCCCAGTGGGCGGTGCCAGCGGAGGGCCCTAAGATCGTGGAGACGCTGGGCATTCCACAGCTTAGCACTGGGGACATGCTTCGAGAAGCCGTCGCAGCGGGCACAGAGGTGGGATTGAAGGCCAAGGAGGTCATGGCTTCAGGCGCCGGCCATGCGACCGTGCGAAAGACTTGAAAGGGTCTGAAGGTGTTGGGCTTTTGACTGGTCTGTAGGGCCTGGCGTGGGCTTGAATCGAATATGGTTGAACAATGCAACCGTTCGGCTTCTACCGTCTACCCGTTTCACTTTGCTCTATCTGAGAATCTGGACCGAAAGCTGTGCTTTGGGCTCCGGACCTTGATGTGCTGTTGGTAGTTGCTCGACGATTGTGTTGTGTATTGATCTGTGGCAAGCATGTTGACCCACTTCCCTCTTGCATGCTGTCCTTTCCTCTCGTCCCCTCCTGTTTGCTTTGATTGGCTTGAGGTGGTTTGGTCTCAGACGAGATTGTCATTGGCATCATTGCTGACCGCATCAAGCAGCCTGACTGCGTGACAGGCTTTATTTTAGATGGCTTCCCTCGAACCTTGGAACAGGCAAAGGCCCTGGATGCCCTGCTGGCCAAGAGCGGAGAGGAGAGGGATGAGAGGGTTTTGACCTCGAGGGGTGGCCAAAAACTCAAACGGCTTATTTCGGAGAATTGGAAAGGATTTTATTTATGAGGCTTACGCCTGACAGCCGGGCGCCGGCCTATTTGGGTTTGGGTATGTGCAGGGCTGGGTCCTCTCTCTCTCTCTGTCTCTCTCCCTCTCTCTCTCTCTCTCTCTCTGTCTCTCTGTCTCTCTCTCTCTCTCTCTGTCTCTCTCCCTCTCTCTCTCTCTCTGTCTCTCTGTCTCTCTCTCTCTCTCTTTGAGACTTGGTGGGGCCTATATTGAGCAAAGTTAAGCTATCTGGTGCGCATCTTGGCCCTAGGTTGGGCCAAGTTGCGCCCACGTGGTCTATGTTGGGCACATCTTGGGCCCAAGTTGAGCCTATGTTGGGCCTAGGTCGGCCTATGTTAGGCCTATGTTGGCCTAGGTTGGGCCTATGTTCGGCCTATGTTGGCGTATATTGGCCCCATGTTGGCCTATGTTGGCCCTATGTTGAGCAATCTTGGAGGCTATGTTGAGCATATGTTGGCTATCTTGCGCCTATGTTGGGGAAATGTGAGGCAACTTATGTCCCCAACACCCACGGAATGTCGATTAAGCCTGTCTGCGCGGCACGCATAACCGACACCACCGGCGCCCTGTTAGGCGCAAGTCGTATCCGCCGAAGGCCACGAAACACTGTAAAAAACGATGTTTTCCACATCATGCACAATCATGCTGGTAGATCAAAGTTAAATGCCATCAAAATCTGTCGACCGGATTTAACCTGAGGTCGACACGGGGTATCCCCGCGGTCGAACAAAAGGGTCGGCGGCAGGGGCGGCGAGCGTATATAACCTTCGGTTACCAACCGAAGGCCTCCGGCAAGGGAACGTGCGCGTGGCCGGCGCCCGGATTTAAGAGGCTTACGCCTGACAGCCGGGCGCCGGCCAAGCAGGGTGAGGGTTTGTGTGCAACGGTGACGCTAAGCGGGAAGGCAGAAGCGAAAAAAGTTGTCGCGGAGGATGTATGTGAACATAAATTGCGTAACATACTTTTCCACTCTCTCTCTCTCTCTTTCTCTCTCTCTGTCTCTCCCTTTTCCTTCACTATTTGCCTCGGTCTCCGTCCCTGTCTCCGTCGCGGTATTAGTCGGTAGTTGTCTCTGTCTCTGCCTCTGTGTCGGCTAAAAGGTTGTGGGGGAGCATCGCTCCCCCACCCTCGCGCAGGACGGGGGCCGGGACTTCGGGCGTCCCGGCAGCGTCCTTCGCAAGAAGGGGGCTGACCGCCCGGGTGCACAGTAAGTGCACCGAAGGTCGGGTGAGCCGTCGAACACAGCCACAGCCAGGCACAGCGTTATGCTTTCTTCTGCTCTGTCTCTTTCAACGTCTCTCCACACCTACAGCAACGTCGACGAATAATTTTAGATAGGGCTATATTCCTCGCACGATCCCCTCGTCCTCGGAAGAGGTAGCGTCGTCCACCACCCGGAGCCAACAAAAGCAGAGAGCGCGTCGGTCTTCCCTCCCAGCTACGGCGAGCAAGCGGTTTCATTCTGTGAGAAGCCGTCGTCGTTTGTTACGGTGTTTAGGGGCCCAGCGGGAGTCAAACATCTTCGACCATGTTAACTTCTCAGTCAAGAAGCATCTATTAGATAGTTTCATTTTCTTCCAAAAATTACCTTTGACATAGTTTTATTTTCCTCTAAAAACCCACCAACCGAACCCAAAAAGATCATCCACGACAGAGTTTTACTACAAAATACTACCCACCGAATATCTGTGTTTGTCAGACTCGCTGAAAACAGACTAGACTGAAGTGACTGCCAGAGAGTGACGAGATGTGACGAGAGAGAGTTGACTGTGAGCGACTCACCGTGGCTCGCTTACGAGAGACTGAACTGCACAGACTGCATGGCTCGCTTAAGAGAGACTGAACTGCACTGACTGCATGGCTCGCTTAAGAGAGACAGGAGAGAACTGACAGCGCTGGTTTTGTGTCAAAAGTCTGTGACCCCGTACCCGACACCCCAACCGTGTGCCAGGTGCTCTACGACGAGCACCGTCGTGTTCTCGCAGCATGGAGGAAAGGCCGGCGAGTTTGGCATGTTTGAAGGGCGGGAAGCCTGGCGAGTTTAGGGCGTCTGCGTGTTATTTGACACGCTTGTCGCCCGCGCGCCTGACATGTTTGCGGTGTGCCTGGCTTGTGACTGCAACCCGGCCATGTTTGGACTCTGCCAGAATTCCCGTGAAAGAGTTCGCCTCGCAGAGAGCCTCCTTTGTTGCTCGTGGAAAGTGTAGTTTGAGAGTTGGGTTGGAGACGCAACGCGCAGCATTGCGCAGCGTCGAGACTGATGCGTTGGGGAAGAGGCTTGATACGCCTGCGCGTAAGATCTACGCCCAGCGGCGGCCGCGAAGCCGGACGCTTGCAGCGCCGCTCCAAAGGAGGTGTCGACGACATGTTTATAGGACAAACACAGTGAAGGAGAACAATTGACTGAAACTGAAACGAGACAGTTTAGTAGACCAAAGAAAAACACAGGGTGCGAAGGTGAGAAGCAAAACGTGAGGGGTGAGCAGAAACACGGTAGAACCTGCGAGTGCAAGTGTGCACTGTCTCGTCGTCGTCCGCCGTCGCTGCACTGTTTTACTCAAAAGCAAGAAGAAACAACATAAACACAAACCTTTGTCGAAATGGCAACGTACACGTATGCTACAACAAAAGCAATTGACACAGAGGACACGAAGAGGTTTTTCAAAGACAGACGGAAAGTCAACGACAAGTAACCTAGCCAGCAATCGAGGTTGACGAGCTGCAGTCGTCATAGAAGAAAAACTATCAGGGTTGGTAGTAAGGGAAGCAATAGAATAACACAAGCAGTTGCAAACTGAAGTCGCTGTAGAACATGGACCCAAAGAGGACTGCCATGAGAAAGTGGTGCGCGGTTGCAAGTCGACTCGTTAGTGAACGAGCAGCAAGTTTTGCAACGTGTTGCTTGCTCTTTTGCCGGCTCACTTTAGTCGACTGGTGCACACGCAACCACCGCCGACGAGGCTGCGATGGCCGGCCCACCACATCCAGCCTAGCAATGCAAGCAGGCAACAAGCACACACAGTCGACCGACAGACTTCGAGGCCGACACGCCGCACTCACCCGAGGCCTGGCCTTCCTGACTGCATTCGTTAGTGCAGCCATGACAAAGTGGTGTGTGGCTGCTAGTCAACTCGTAAGTGAACAAGAAGCTAGTTTTGCAGTGTGCTATTCGACAGTTTGGAGGATCAGTCTCGTCGAATGGTACATATGCCACCTTCGCCGACGAGGCTGTCGCGGTCGGCCCACCAAATCCGGCAAAGCAAGTCAAGTAGACAACAAGCACACACATTGGATCCGCAGAATGCCAGACCGATACACCATACTGACCTGGGGCATAGCCTTGGTGTCTGCGTTCGTCAGTGCTAACACTAATAGAATAAACCCAGTGTTTGTCGTCCACCTCTTCAGTTGTGTCTTTGCGCGCCAAGCACTGCGAGCTCTAGCGAAGGGTCGGCGTCCGACGGGTTGGATCAAGAAAGCCCGCGCCGCAGGCAGAACTCGCTTGAAAGCAAGGCGGCGACAGACACAGCCTCTGTGTCGGATGCAAGTGTTGTTGGCCGTGTTGGTGGTTTCGAGTCCCGGCACCATACTCTGTGTTCATACCGTCGGCCACAACAACATTTCTAGAGCCAACCACATGTGGTGCGTCGCTCGCAAGCTCCGCAATCAATTGATGCGGGCACTGCATGGGAATACGATGCACCCTGCGAAAAGGATGGCAACAGAAAAGAAAGGTGTGGATAAAGCAACTTGCTCAAGCACTTACCCAACAACGAAATCTGAGAGTTCGAACCCAACACCTTTGAAGAAGCAGAAAAGTGAAGCTGAAGCTAATGTTACACAGTATGCTTTGTTGACGTCGGCATACAGCCCGGTGCACAACCAGTCCGCAGAAGAAGTTGTTGACTTGGATCAGCTGGCACAAGCTCGGATCGGGTGTGACATCACCAAAGTGCCCGGCGACGGATGGTGCTTCTTTCATGCCGTTAGTCGGCACTGCAGCAATTGGAACACGTGGTCGATAACGCACGCCGCAGAATTATACCTGCAGGCGTTGGAGTGGTTGTGCAATCAGAAATATGGTCCCAAGGCAGAAGACGTTCAGCTTGCCTGCGCGCCCTTCGATGATCGAGAACTAGAGTTGCATAAGCAGTATCTTCTGCGCGCGCACAAATCCAACCCGAGCTTAGCAGAGCTCACGGACTCAGAGATGGTGCTTTTGAGCAAGCTAGTTGCGGTGCTACAGAAACCGCGTGCCTTGGACTCCATCCACCATGGGTCTTTCGTCGAACTATGGGCGCTCGCAGAGACATTCGATTTTCACTGCCTGATTTGGAGTCAGGACGTGGACCACAACCTGTGGGTGCGAGACCAAGCAATTGTTAGTGACCAAGAAGCCCATGCAAGACTACAAGAACATCCACAAGTGTTAGAACTTCTGCACCGCCAAATCGGCGTCACCGGCCATTACGACATAGTGGACAGATCTGCGTCGCTGCGGCCGCCGTTTCCGGACACCACCTGGACACTGGAGTGGAAACGTGCCGGAGCTGACGCCGTCTTGCAGCGGGCAGCGGACACTCTAGAGACGCCTCTGCCACCCTTGCCGCCGCCGTGCGAGCCGCCGCAAAGTTCGCCGCAAGAGCATCGCTCACGCAGAGGAAGCACGGCGGAGCTCGACTCAATCGACAGGCCTACCACAGACGGCGTGTGCCAGGGCTCTTCCCGACCAGCGCGACGTCGCCGGACCGGCGTGCGCATCGCGCAGCATTTGCAGCCAAGTTGTGCGGAACATAGCTCATGCAAGCGCGAGACGTTTGTGCGCTGTGACGGAGCCATCGAACAGGAAGACAATGTGGCCCCGCATCCAGCGACAGCAGCCGCAGCCACTGATGCACAGCAAATCACAGATA